GAGGAGGGCGGAGTTAAAGAACGAGGGTTGGGTGGGGCTCAGCGCCAGGAGCTTGGTGACCACGCCCTCGTTGTAAGGCTCAAAGTTGGTGTCGAAGACGAGTCCCCCGCTCGGGTCGAGGACGCGGAACGCCAGGTTGGGTTTGACCGCCCCCGTCGTGCAGCACAGTTTGGGCACGGAGGAGAGATAACGGGCGATCTCCGGGAGGAACGCCTGGAGTTTGACCTGACCAGAGACGAGCTGCGTCCCGGGAACGAAATCGCCGGGGTGAGAAATGTCAAACGCCAGAGCGATGTCGATACTGCAATCTGAGGAGAGACAGAGACTTTGTGTTTTAGTGCGTTTATGGAGAACTGTGGAGTGGGCTTGTGGGCGGAGCCTCGTACAGGCTCGTACTGCCAACACTAAAGGCCTATTCATGCTTCATAAGAACTTTGTTCTTCTTTTTGAGAAAACAAAAACAAGAACAAAGATCTTCTGAAGTTTAAACAGGCCCAGGAGAAAACAACGAGACGCCACAAACTCCAAAAAGTTCAACTGGCTTTAAATTGATCACTGAGTGCTGTTTCTCTGATTGGTCGTTGGGTGTTTCTCTCACCTGATTGGTCGTTGGGTGTTTGTCTCACCTGATTGGTTGTTGGGTGTTTCTCTCACCTGATTGGTCGTTGGGTGTTTCTCTCACCTGATTGGTCGTTGGGTGTTTCTCTCACCTGATTGGTCGTTGGGTGTTTGTCTCACCTGATTGGTTGTTGGGTGTTTCTCTCACCTGATTGGTTGTTGGATGTTTCTCTCACCTGATTGGTTGTTGGGTGTTTCTCTCACCTGATTGCTCGCTGGGTGGGCGGGACTTGCAGATTGTATCCACGACCTTGGTCTTGATCTTCTCCAGACTCCCGAAGTTCTCAACGGTGAAGAGAAGCTCCGGGTTCTTGCAGATCTGCAGCAGCTCCGGTTTGTGCACGTGTCCGACGCCGATGGCGAAGATCTCCACGCCCATCCCGTGCAGACGATTGGCGGCGTCCTCCACGGCGTCCTGGCTGTCCCCGTCCGTGATCAGTACCAGGTTCTGAGACACCTGCTGGTCCCGCCTACTGCCCCGCGCCGCCGTGAAGTACTCCCGCAGCGACGCCAGGGCGTGGCCGATCCTGGTCCCGCCCCCCTTCTGCACCATGGCCAAGACGTGCTTCACCACCTGTCAATCACAGCGAGGGGCGTGGCTTTAGAGTAAGACCCGCCCCTTCGGCCCGGCGCCAGAGATGCCATTTAAAACCGCCAACGTAGTAGTAGAACGTAGTATTTGTACTAATAGTACTTGCAGTAGCAGCAGTATTTTAAGTACCTTCTCCTCTGAGTCCAGGTCGTTGTTAGTACTCCCAGTAGTAGTACTATTTGCAGTAGTAGTAGTAGTAGTAGTAGTAGTAGTAGTAGTAGTAGTAGTAGTAGTAGTAGTAGTAGTAGTAGTAGTAGTTGCAGTACCTTCTCCTCAGAGTCCAGGTCGTGCAGGTACAGTTGGTGCTGGAAGTCTCTGTTGAACTGGGCCAGTCCCACTCGGACTTTGTCTTGGGAGATTTTGAACTTGGAGATCAGGTCCAGGGTGAAGTTCTTCATGATGCTGTAGTCTCCAGTGGAGATGGAACCAGACTGGTCCAAGAGGAACACCAGGTCTGCCTGCTGCTTCTCACACTCTGAAACACAACAGACTATCAGTACTACCACTGCAAATACTGATACTACTACTGTGGTCTCTGGTCCTGGTCCCGGTCCCTGGTCCTGGTCCCTGGTCCTGGTCCCGGTCCCTGGTCCTGGTCCCTGGTCTTGGTCCTGGTGCCAGTCCTGGTCCTGACCTGGTTTGGTGTCGTTGCAGATCACTTGGCTGATGTTCTTGTAGAGGTTGTCCAGGCCGCTGAAGTTGTCCACGTAGAAGATGTGTGAGCTTTTGTTCCTCGCAATGATCTCCAGCTCCTCCCGGTTGGCGCCTTCCACCCCGATGCTGTAGACTGACACCCCGGCCTGCGCCAGGGCCTCGGCAGGTGCTGCCAGGGCATCCCTGTGGACAGAGCATCCTCTGCATCAGAGACACATCCTCTGCTCCACCTGAACCTCCTCTGCACCACCTGAACCTCCTCTGCTCCACCTGAACCTCCTCTGCTCCACCTGAACCTCCTCTGCTCCACCTGAACCTCCTCTGCTGTACGTGCTGCCCCCTGCAGGACACTTCACACACAGCAATAATGTGTCCTATCACAACTGTGCAGACGACACTCAGGTCGTCCAAGAGACCAGAGTGTGGATGAAAACCACAAAGACACAAGTCACAGAAACAGAGTCACAGTCACCTCCAGTCTTTCTCCAAAACCTGCAGATCAGACGAGAAATCTGAGGCTTAAAAAGAACTCAGACATGAACTTTAACATCCACATCAGATCCACAAACATCTGCAGATCCACAAACATCTGCAGATCCACAAACATCTGCAGATCCACAAACATCTGCAGCTTTTACCATCGAAAAACAGAAAAAAACCCCAAATGTTTTCTGTCTTTTCCCTGTGTTTGTCTCCAGGACATTAGACTCACTGTGAGACGCCACGGAACATCCAGAACGTCCAGAACGGTTCTTCCTCTGTGTCGTGTTCGTTTGTGGCGGGGCTCTATTAAAAACTTAGGCAAGATCGAAGTTCTAAGTGCAGGTGGTTTATTGTGCCAGTGTCCAAAGTGCAAAAATCCCAAAAACAGTGCAAAAATATTTACAGTGAGCAAAACAGTCCAAAAAGTATTTACAGCAAGAAAACAGGGTCGAGTTCAGCATCAACTGTCCCCTTTAAGATCCTTGTACAGCGCACCGACGTTACCTGCTCTGTAACCGGTGGCAGACTGATTGACAGCCAGGAACGGCTCCCCTTTAAACCACCTGACTCCTCCCACTGAGCAACACATGAAAATCATTATAAAGACAAAGAATTTAACCATAAACCTTCCTTTTCTATGCTACGTTGAGCACACAGTAATAAAGTACATAAAATGTCAAAAATAACAGTTGAATAACCTGAAGAAAATCATATTACATAATGCGCGTCACATGGTCAGCACCACGGCGCGAACAGCACCTATTTCAACCAACAGGAAATAGAGGCTCGGTTTGGCAGAGGCGCCGCGTCGGAGGAGAGAGAGAGACGCGTCATCGGACAGGTAAGAGACAAGTATGAAATAAACTACTCTAACGCGCTCAAGTGTGCACCTTTGGCGAATTAGTAACGGAGGAAAGAGGGGAAAAGGTGATAATAGTGAATACGGCGCAGATGAATGAAACAGCGGGGAAACGGGGAGTGAACTCGTGTGTGCGGGATGACTCAGCGTGTGTGTGCGCGGGCACGTCAGCGCAGACCGCGGTTACGTGTAGGGGGGAAAACGCCACCTAAAATCATAGACGGACTGACTCCGTCACATTATCCCTCCCTTCCGGAAGTTCGACACTGTGGGGCAACCAAGACAGGTAATCAGCCACAACATTCATCTTGCCGGCACGGTGTCGAATGGAGAACCTGAAGGGCTGAAGGGTAAGGTACCATCTGGTCAGGCGACTGTTGTGGTCCTTCATGGTGTTTATCCATGTCAGGGCTCGATGGTCGGTCTCTAGGTCGAACTCTCATCCAAGCAAGTAATACCGCAGGCTTTCCAACACCCACTTGATGGCCAGCCCCTCTTTCTCAACAGCAGAGTAGCGGGTCTCACGACTGACTGGGTTTCGCTGAGTTTTGGCGGTGAGTGCAGTGAGGGGAGCGGCGATGGTTGCAAATTGTGGCATGAACTTTCTGTACCATCCTGCCAACCCAAGAAAAGAGCGTACCTCTTTCTTTGTGCGTGGCCTTGGAGACTTCAGGATTGCCTCGACCTTGTCAACTTGAGGCCTCACCTCCCCTTGACCCATCTGGTAGCCAAGGTAGCATGTCTCCTGCCGAGCCCATTCACACTTTGCCGGATTGAGTGTCAGACCAGCTTGCTGGATTCTCTTCAGGACTAGGGAGAGGTGTTGGACATGATCCTCTCAGGTCTCACTAAAGATGACAACATCGTCCAGGTAAGCTGCACTGCAATGCTCACACCCATGGAGAACTCTGTCCATTAGACATTGGAATGTAGTGGGTGCTCCATGCAGCCTGAACGGCATCACAGTGAACTGAAACAGTCCAGCAGGTGTTTGGAACGCTGTGTAAGGCCGTGATGACTCTTCGAGGGGCACTTGCCAGTATCCTTTGCAAAGGTCCAACGTGGTGATGTATTTGGCCGCACCGATCCTTTCCAGCAAATCATCAATCCTCGGCATCGGATACGCATCAAATTCAGACACAGAGTTCAGCTTTCTGAAATCAATGCAGATCCTGAGTGACCCATCTTTCTTGAACACACACATGTCTTTCTTGGCTGCACTCAGAGTTGGAAGGCTCAATGACTCCAAGCTTCAGCATTTCTTTTATTTCATCCTGGAGCTTTCCCACGAGCTGCTGTGGAACACGGTAAGGCCTTTGACGGATTGGACGGCCACTCTTCAGGCGGATGACGTGCTCAACAACTGCAGTCTTGCCAGGGCTGGCGCTGAACAGAGAGGACACCTCCTTGAAGGTCTGTAGTAGCTGTGCGGCTTGCTCGGGAGGAAGATGAACCAGCATTGGGGCAGCAGTGTTGGTCAATCCCTCCAGTCCCATGTCCGGCTCCTCCTCGTCCTCTTCTTCGCCCAATTTCCTGACAAACAGGGCTTTTGTTGGAGTCTGGACTGGACGCTCCCTCCACTCCTTAAGGAGATTAACGTGATAGGTCTGTTTGGACTTCTTTTTGTCAGGGTGCAGAATGTCGTAGGTGACTGGCCCCATCTTGCGTGTGACAGTGTAAGGGCCCTGCCATTTTGCCAAAAGTTTGTTGGTGGAGGATGGCAGGAGAAGCAGCACTTTCTGGCCAGGTTGGAACTCTCGACTGCGGGGTTGGCGGTCATACCAGGCCTTCTGGGCTTTTTGAGCGTCCTGCAGGTTCTTCTCTGCCTCCTCTAGATATTCAGTCAGTCTCTCCGCATCTCCAGGACGTACTGGACAATGCTCCGGTCCTTGTGCATGGCTGGACGGCCCTCCCATTGTTTGCGGAGGAGGTCTAGTGGTCCCTGCACATCCCAGCCATATAACAGTTCGAATGGGGAGAACCCAGTTGACGCCTGTGGGACTTCTCGATAGGCGAACAAAACAAAGGGTAGCCAACGGTCCCAGTCCTTGCCGGTATCATGCACAAACTTTTGCAACATCCTCTTCAGTGTTTGGTTAAATCTTTCGACTAGTCCATCAGTTTGTGGGTGGTACGGAGTGGTTTTGATGGAGGTGATGCCCAGTTGCTGCTGGAAAAGGTGCATCAGACGAGATGTGAAGCTGGTGCCTTGGTCAGTGAGGATCTCATCAGGTAGACCAACTCTGGAAAACAGATGGACAAGGGCTCGAAGGACAGCAGGTGCAGTGATAGCCCTCAGCGGAAAGGCTTCTGGAAATCTGGTGGCATAGTCCGAGATGACCAGGATGTACTGATGCCCGCTGCTGCTCTTCACCAGGGGCCCCACAATGTCCATGGCAATCCTTCGGAAGGGAGTCGAAATCACTGGAAGAGGCTGTAGAAACGCACGGTCAGATTTGCGCAAAGGACAGGTTTTCTGACAGGTAGGACAGGTAGCACAGTATTTTTGAATATCGGCGTACATGGACGGCCAATAAAACCAGGAACTCACGCGCAAAAAGGTTTTGTGTCGACTGAGGTGACCCGCCCACGGAACTGTGTGCGCAAGGTGCACGAGAAGGGTCCTACAGCTAAGTGGAACAGCAAGACGTTTGCACTTATTACTAACAATGTACAAAACTCCATTGTCAGTAACACATTTCACTTGGCTTAAACAATCCTTTGTTTCTTTTCCCACCTTAGCAAACAGACAGTTCAAGATTTCATCCTGGCTTCGCAACTCAACAATATTTTCTGGCACATTCCACACAAAAGAATCAACATTTTCAGGTTTTGCAGACCACATTTGTTTTTCAAATCGCCGCTGATGACGGGACTTTCTTGGCCCTTTGGTGCCGCCCTCACACAGACTGTTGTCAACGTCTGGCAGAGGTTGGACCCCGGCTTTTGCCTGTGCTCGGGTGAGAATAGGACAAGACACATGCAAAGAACAGTCATCATTCCCCCCAGAGTCAACTTCCCCAGGTAACTCACTTTCATTCAACAAGTCCATTAGCACAGGTAAATCCCACCCAAGGATAGCCTCTACAGGTAAGTTTTCTACAACTCCCACAGTCACCAGGTAAGGCTGATCTGAAACAGTCACAGTCACATCCACCGTAGGATAGGGGTGGCTGTCCCCGTGCACGCACAAAATGTCCACTGTCTTGCTGTAATCCAGGCTGCTAATTGGCACTGAGCTGCGTTTGATCAGGGATGTGAAACTACCAGTGTCCAGTAAAGCAGTAACATTGTGGCCATTAATCAGTACATTTTTGTAGCATTGCACAGTATTTTCAGCCTCTCTAGAGCTCTCTGACTCTGGTCTTGCGAACAGGGCAAAGTGAAGCTTTGTGACCAGGCTGTTGGCAGTGAAAACATATAAGCTCCTTACCAGGTCCTTGTTGGTTTTGGGCCGTGCTGGTGGTACCTGACTGGTCCTGGCTGGGGTCACGCCTCGCTGGTCTGGGCAGAAGCGGTTGAGCTGGTGCACATTAAGATGCGGTGGTTGACCGGGCAGCAGGTCCTCCCTTGCGAGCGTTGAGGTACTGCACGGCCAACTTGGCAGCGGTGAGTCCGTCGGCTGGCTCATGTTCCTTCACCCAGGTACTCACCTCGAAGGGGAACACCCGCAGGAGCTGCTCCATGATAATCGCCTCCCCGATCTCCTCCTCTGGTCGAATCCAGCGACGATAGAGTCCTCTGAGACGGTGATAGGTCTCTGTGGGGCTCTCTCCAGGTGGCAGGGTGGAAGAGCGAAACTGTTGGCGGTAGGTTTCTGGTGAAATGTCAAATTTGGCCA